GATCTCACTGAGTCTGTTGCAAAGCCGGGCCAGCCAGTGTTCTTTCCACCGCACCCTATTATGTAATCTAATACTCAAAAGCATCACAATGTTTTGGTAAGCAGAGACTTGCGGCTGATGGGTGAGCATAAGAAATGAGCTAAGCTTGTTTTAAATTGTCACTGCCCTCCTGAAATCCTCTACTCCTGGATGTAGTCTTTAAGACCCTTTGTGGGCTACCCCACCTGAGTCTGCGAGCTCACCTTCAACATAGGAACTCCTTCCTGCCTCAGGGCCTTTGCACCATCTGTTTCCTTCACCTGGAACTCTCTTCTTCCAAACTGCTTCCTGGCTCATACTCCCTCCTCATGTCATTCAGCTGTCATAGAGAGGCATTCCCAGACCGTCCTACCTGATGTTGGTTCCTACCCCAGTCTCTAAAATATCTTGTTTTTATATCCTCCATAGCCCTATTCACATCTGAAATCACTGTGGTTAGTTGTTTTAGGTCTGGCTTCCTCTCTAGAATGATGGCTGTTGGGAATTTGTTCAGGACCCAGCAGAGGGCCCAGGCACTGAGTAAGTGCTCGAGGAATACGTTGGGGAATGATGGCATGGAGGATGGCGCAGGACAAGGAATTAGCCAGAGACCACGTTAGAGAAAAGTATGGAGGTTTACTCAGCAACAGTCACAATCACAGTTGTACATGGTAACTCAGGTCTTCACAAAGGCTCACTTTTCCAGGCAGGAGATGAGAGGTTGGCGGCCTCGGGCTTTCTTTATGGAATATGTCTGAATTCTCAAATATTCCCAGCCTGGAATCCCACTGGAATCCGGCTTCAAGCCTACCGCAGAGCAGAAGCCTGACCCTGTTGTCTGGCCCGGCTGAATCAAAGCCATTTGTGGAGTGGATGTTAAGAGGACCTTATCACTTAGAACGTAGGTCCAACTCCCACCCCAGAGGTGGCAGTGGGCCTTGGCTCAGGATGAAGTTTGAACTAAAATGTTCCTTGAATTTTTCACATGAAAAAGCATCAGCTGAAAGCAGAAAGGAACTCCAGAACAACACTCACTCCTTGCCCCTCTCCCACACTCAAATCTTCAGAAAATTTAATTAAAAATGCATTGCCTCCTAAGAATTATAAAAGATCACCCAATCTGTACAAACTAGGGATTGCTGAAGCAAGGAACCCAGAATTCTCAGTTCCTACTGTCAAGTCTTTGCCACTCAGAATTTCTAACTCCAGAGACTGGAAAAATGGAGATGCACAGGAAGAAATTTGAGCCACTTAAGAAAAAGAAATTCAGCAGGGAGGAGGGTTTGAAAAGTGAATATGACGTGGACGTTGGGAACCCACGTGCTACATCTTCAGCAAGAACCGCCCTTTCTCCCTAGGTCCTAAGGTCATATCCCCCATCAGATCTCTTCTGTGGATGTATCCCTTTCTGCCTCTGAGCTATTTCTTCCTAAAATGGGGAATTGACAATTTCCGGACTGTTTTAAAAGTTGAAAACCCCAACGGGAGGCACAAAGTGGAGTGGCTGTTCACACTCATGCTTGCACACGCAGCCACCTGCAAGGCTTGGTATGTACAGCAAAGATGTTCTTTGCATTCCTAAATGTTTCTGGACTCTCCCTTTGGAAAGGCTACTGGTGGGCCACACAGGCACGAGACTTCCTAGCCACACCCTGTTTTCTGACCTCAGGCTTAGAAGAAAGGCTTCAGAGGAAAAGGGGTCCACGTTCTCACCCATTAACAGGCTGACAGCACCTCCACAGGCTCCTGGCTGTTTTCCTGAGCATCAGCCGGGGTGGTGCAGGGACCTGGATCCTTGAAACAGGTGGTTTTGCCAAATGAAGACAGAACAATGAGTGGCTAGTATGTGCGATCCGTTGGTTAGTTAACAAACACCTTCTCTCCTTCCTTCCCGATTACCTGCTATGTTAAGTCACAGCACCTGCAGCCATGGGCTCAGCAATTACAAATGCCACAGCGCTCAGAGGACCTGCCCATCCCTGCTGACGGTGCAAAACCAGACTCAAAAAGAGAACGGAGGGATGGAAAAAAGGATAGCTGAGGACTGCTTGCTGTTGCTCCTGCTTTCCATATGCATCCCTGTCTTGCAGAGAACACTGTCTCCGCTTGGAGTGGGACCATTTGGAAATCTAGCCAGTGCTCTGCACTCCACCTGGGGGCTAGGATGGGAGACTGCAGGCGTGGCTTCCAAACAGGGCCTCTCCCAGGGACTGCTGAGGCCCTTCTTGGCCACAGACTACACGAGTTGTCCAGCTGCCCTTTAAATTCGGGGTGTCACTCTCACTCAGTGGAACACCTTCTGGCCTCTGGCCCTTGGGGGCCATCTCCGTCCTAGATTCTGCTCTGGGCCCAACGCCTCCTGCTTGAGGTCAGACATTAAGAAACACACTCATCCGACAGGAACTGCACACACCACCAAAAATGTTCCCCCTCCCCCAACCCTGCCCCTTTATGTTTGTCTAGCAAGGCACTAGGAAATGATTCAAGTTTCGGGATTGGCTGTACATTTGCATTTTTTTTCTTTTTAAAAGGCACAGTTTTTATTTTAATGATGCTGCTCTACTCTGAGGATGCATCCTAACTCACCTCTCCCAAACTGCAACACTTGCTATCCTAGATTCTGGAAGGGGCCTCATCTTTTGACTCCTTCGCATTGAGGGCCACCTGTAAGGACAGAGCACTCACTTGGACAAGCAAGCTTGGCAAGCCCGGGGCTGCCTCTCCTGCGGCAGGACGGGGGCTGGAGCAGGGCTTGTGCTGAGGCAGATGTGGAAGTGACGCTTTGCCAGCTACACGCTTATTCAGGGTGGTAGTGGTTGGGTTTCCTTCCCTCCCCAGCTGACTGATGGCCTTGAGATCAGCCTGCATTGCAGAAGCAGATTCGTGGCTCTGCTCCCACATTTGTGCCTCAGTTATTTCATTAGTAAATAACACAACTGAGAGGCTCGACTCTAAGTGGAATACTGATTTCAAGGGCCTCCTGGGCTAGCTGCTGGGAGCCACGGGCTATAGAAGGTGATTTCCATTTTGGAATCAGTGGGTGGGAGGCTGGTTACAGAAACCCTTCCTGTTAGTTTGGGAGCCCTCTGGGAGTCTGACACAAAATTAACAAAGCAAGAGGTGAACACAAAGGACGGGCATGGAGCTGGGTGCACACCTGTTCGTGGGACACTGGGGCCTGCTCTCCACTGCGGCTGCGGCCTTGGTGGGAGGTGGCAGGCGTCAGGTCTGGGCCGAGGACCAGGACACACCAAGGCCTCCAGTACGAGCTGATGGACCGCAACACCACCAACCTCGGACTTAGATTATGTCTAGGCTGGGGGCTGCCTTGCACGTATCACCCTTGGCTGGCTCTTTCCATCACAGCATTCTAAAAATCCATATTGGATGTGAGAATACCAGAATCCCATGTGGCATTCGAGCCTATGATCAAATTACAGAGTTCTTTAAAAATCCTCAAGTTCCATATGAAACCCAGAACCATGATGAGTCAGATGCTAGGCACTGTGCCCACGGTCCACCTGGAGGCTTCTGGACTTTGTGAGGTGAACACCCGACACCTCTGTTCCTCTCTTGTGGCAGGTAATTGCCCGAGAGAGAGAAGAGAGGGAGAGAGAGAGAGGAGACAGAGACAGAGAGAAATGGAAGCACTGATGAGGGAAATTCAGCCAGAATTTCTAGTTTGGAGGGCTCCTACCAGGCCTGTGCCACAGGCTCAAGACCATGTGAAATGCACCCCTGAAAAGCTGGTGGCCGGGCTGTCCTGTGCCTGGATGGCACGGGAATGGGCATTTCTGGTACCCCGAGAGCAAGGGGAGAGCCCCCAGATGTCCATGGTGCAAAGGAATGTCTGGGGGTCCCGCTTCTAACCCCAGGCCTGGCAGCTGGCCCGTGTTGAGTACTGAACACTCTGAGGGCCCCAGGTATGGCCTTCGACTGCGTCTCCTGGGCTGTGACAGAGAACAGACGCTAGGCAGTAACTGCAGTTATCCCAAAGCAGGCAAAAATTTAAAAGGCTGAAACCAGTGGCCCGCAGAAAGACTTCCTTCCCTTCTGCTACGAGTGGCACTGGTGCTAAAAGCAGCCCCCCAAAAGACAGAATTTGTCTCTCTTTCTAAAGGACCATCATTAAAGAGTCAATGGAAGGCCAGGCAGCCTCGCAGGACCCCCTTCTAGGTGGCCGAGGGCTGCCCTGGCACTCCTCCGGAATGATGCCCCAGGGAAAGAGGTGACTGAGCTGAAAAGGCTCTCCAGGGTTTCCGGATTTCCACGATGCCGTCAGGGGTGGAGCAAGCTCCGTGCCCTCAGGGGGCCTCCTGTGGGGTCTGCTCTCCACTGCAGCTCCATCACTCAGGGCCCCCCCGGGCCAGGGGGACACCTTGCCCAGCTTCAAGAGTCCCCTCTGCCCTGACCCGATGGGCCAGCACCTCTTCCATGACGGGGCCCACGATAGCCCCGCCTCCGTCGGGAGAGGGTGGCGGCGGCAGTGAGTGCCGGAGGGGACCCCGCCAGGCCTGGACGGGAACCGGAGGGCTCAGCTGCTGTTGAATTTTTCCAGGACTGTTGAGTTGGTGTGTTCGAACAGCCACTGCTGGGTGGGGGAGGAGGGGTTGCAGGCGTTCATGAAGATCCTGTGGTCGCTTTCACTGCAGTCCATGCAGCTGCCACTGACGGGGTGGTACAGGGTCTTGTCCTGCAAAACAGGGAGGTTATCAGCCCGGCAGTGCTGGGACATGGACAAGCAGTAGCGGCAACAGCAGGGAGGCAGAGAGGCTCCCAGGCCTGTCTGAGCTTCCTCCTGAGCACACAGCGGACACTGCCCCCTTCCCTCGCTGTTGGCCTTGCCTCGGGCCTGAGTTGTGCCCTCCGGGATGCGGGCAGAAGTGACGCATGTTGCTTCCAGGCCGGGACCCTAATCACTGCCCATCTCCAGTCAAATTTCATTGGCTCTCAGGGCGGTTTTCGTTTAAAAAAAAAAAAGGACTCAGTTGCCAACATTTACGATTCTAGAGATTTCACAATCCAGAAAGCTGGATTTCTGGCTTCTTTTGAATGACAGGAGAGCTGGGCACGGTAGGTTTGTGGACCAAATGCAGGAGTGAGGGGATCTGGGGAGGAGTGAGGCACCACATTGCTTTTTTTCTTTTTAAAATCAAGCTGGATTCCCCGATCCCCAGCGCGGCCACTTACTTTGCGGTATTTCCACAGCTGGTTGCCCTTCATGCTGTGGCAGTCGTAGAGGGTGACAGGGCTGGTGTGGGAGATGGCGTCAAAGCAGAATTTCTTGGTGTGCTGGGGGTCTCCAGGCCGGATGTCCTCTCTCCAGGTGAAGGTGAACACCTGCGCACACAGGGACAGGATGATCGGACGGCAAAGTTAGGGGACTTTGTCTTTTGGTAATTATGGAAAATTTTACACATGGCAGTCCAGAAAAAGTATACTGACCACACCTGTTCCGATGGCCTGACTTCTGTGATTACCAACTCACGGCCAATCTTGTTAGAGAGCCGCTCCTCTGCCGCCCACCCCCACCTGTACATTATTTTGAAGCAAATCCTGGACATCGTATCATGTCAGGGGTAAATACTTCAGTCAGTGCCATGATAACAATGAGAAGTTACCCCAAAGCCCTCAAAATCATCAAATATCCAGAGTTCAAGTGTTCCCGGACTGACTGACATATTTCTTTTCACAGTCTGTTTGAATCAGGATCCAAACCAGGTTCACATATTGTATTTGACTGGTAAACTTTTTTTTTCCAGAAGCTTTAGTGAAGAATAATTGGCATGAAATAAACTGCACACATTCAAAGTGTACAGTGATACGTTTTGACATATGTTTACACCTGCAAAACCATTATCATCAAGGTAATGGACATAAGATACCTATCACCCCCAAAGCGTCCCCAGGCCCCTCTGTAATCTTTTCCTCCTGTCCCTCCTCACTCCCTGTGCCCCGGGTCACCCCGCATCTGTTTCTTGTTTTTAGAGATTAGTTTGCAATTTCTGGAATTTTAAATAAAAGGAATTACACAGTATATTCAGTATATATTCTTTTTTTTGATGTGATTTCTTTCATTCAACATAATTTTGTTGAGATTCACCCATGTAATAACAGCATTTATCAGCAGTTCATTCCCTGTCATTGCCGAGCAGTACTTCAGTGCGTGGTACTCAATTTATCTGTTCTTGGATATTCGGGTTGTTTCCAGTTTTTCGATATTACAAATAGAGCTGCTATGCACATGCATGTACAAGTCACTGTATGGACATACACAACATTTCTTTTCTCTTGGATAAATCCCTCCACGTGCAGTGGCTGGATCATGTGATGAATCAACATGTAACTTTCTAAAAAACTGCCAGGCTGTTCCAAAGTAGCTGTGCCACTCACATCCCATCAGCAGTGTATGGGCCCAATTCACCGACATCCTTGCTTTTAATAGGTTATCATTTTAATTTCCATTTATCTAATAAATGATGAAGTATTTTTGATGTGCTTATTTGCCATTGATAGACCTTCTTTGCTAAAATGTCTGTGCCTATTTTAAAATTGCATTGCTTCTTTTCTCACTGAATTTTGAATATTCTAGATGTAAGTTCTTTATCAGATACATGCTTTGTAAACATTTTCTCCGGTCTGTGGCTTGCCTTTCTATTTTCTCAAGTCTCCGTTTAAGAACAAAAGTTTTTCATTTTGAAGAAGTCCAACTTATCAGTGTTTTTCTTTTGTGAATTGTGCTTTTGTTGTTTTATCTAAGGAATCATTGCTTGGGTTACCAAGGTCACAAACACTTTTGCCTATGTTTTCTTCTAACAGATTTTGTTTGAGGTTTTATGTTTGCTCCATTTATGAATGCTCCATTTTGAGTTAATATTTGTCTATAGTATATGGTGTTTATTAAAAAATTTTTTTTGCATATGTGTGCATCATTTGTTGAAAAGATTATATATTCTGCACTGAATTTCCTTTAAACATCTCCAAAAATTGGTTGTCCATATATGACTGGGTCTATTTTTGGACTCTATTCTGTTCCATTGATCTTATGTCAACATGAAACTGTTTTAATTACTGATATTTTATGATGCAACATGGAATCAAGTAGTGTTAAGCCTTTAATTTTGTACTTCTTTTGAAATTTTGTTTTGGCTGCTTTACATTCTGTCCATTTCCATGGGAATTTTAGAATCAGCTTCTCAATTTCTATAAAAAAGCCTACCAGAATGTTAGGGTTGTGCTGCCTTTAGATATTTGTTTGGAAAAAACCGACATCAGTAGAGTCTGCCAACCTACGAACATGGTATATGTCTTCATTTATTTAGAAGTTCTTTAATTTCTATCAGAAATGTTTTGTAGCTTTCAGTATGCAGGTTTTTCACATCTTTTGTCAGTTACATATCTGAGTATTTCATATTTTTTTATTGTGAGAGCTTATTTTAATTTCTGATTCTTCATTATTAGTATATAGAAAAACAACTGATTTTTTTTATCTTGCAATTTTGCTAAACTCAGTTACTAGTTCTGGTAGCTTCCCTGTAGATTCTACTGAATTTTCTTTTTTAAAAATTTACTTTATTTTCATTTTATTTATTTTTTTGAAGTGGGGAGGTAATTAGGTTTATTTATTGACTTTTTTTTAAATGAAGGTACTGGGGATTGAACCCAGGACCTCACGTATGCTAAGCAGGCACTACCAGTGAGCTATACCCTCCCCTCTCCCACTGAATTTTATACATAGATAATCATACAATCTGCAAATAAAGACAGGTAGGGCCCATGTGTGCGCCCTGCACCATCTGACCCTCTGCTTTTGCAAAGGACCTGCATCACAGGCTTGTATCAGTGTACACTCCCCAAATGCCAGAAAATCCACAACGGCACAGGAGCAGCCCTTACCTGCATGTTGTTCCAGGCAGCCTCCCCACGGCCCCGGACGCAGCTCTCCAGCCTCAGCGGGGAGCCCAGGGCCCCGTGCTTTGTGTCTGTGCACAGCCCTGTGCCCACGTTGCGGATCTGGGCAAGAAAGAAGGGAAGAGTGGACCAGTGAGGCACCTTGAGATACCCACTGGGGCCCCTGCCGGGGTGGAAGGAGGGAACCAAGGCAGAGGCATCACCTGGGCTGAGCTCTGAATCGTCCCCACAAAGCTTGCCCTGATTTGGTGAACAGGCCCTGAGCCTCTCGATAAAGGAACACTCGGTCCGCAGAACGCAGCTCTGCTAAACCCTGCTCTGTCTTAGAGTGTGCGGGGTCCTGGGGGTGAGAGGGTTCAGAAGGAGGGCTCCCAGAGAATTCAATCCATAGGTCCAGAAATAAAAGTTTACCCACATTCCAGAGGATCTACAGGCTCTACCTTGAAAACCACCCTAGAAAAGGTGTAAGGTCTTTGCTGTCAGGGCCTTGGACTCTGCCTTTTAGGGCAGGTGAAATGCAGGATCCGAAGGAGAGCAGTGGTCTCACTAGGACGGGGCTGCTGTGGTGGGGAGAAGGACGGGGGAGTGTGGGGGCCTAGGTGCTCAGCCAGCATGCCCACGGGCAGGCCACCATGCTAGGTGCCGGTGTCACGGCGGGGAGTCCCCAGTTCACAGACATCACTCCTGGTTTCACTGCGGGGTCGGGAGGATGGCAGCTGTGAAAAGGCCCCACAGCAATGTCCCACTGCAGGGAGTCTGATGCCCAGCTGCTGTGTTCTGCACCCACCACCATGTCTGAGAAGAGGCCACAGCCCCATGGGAGGCCTCCAGCCAGTGCCTAAGGTGGCTAGCCCATTCCTGGGAGATGTGGACTCCTCTGGCCAGTGATGTGGCCTGAAGACTGCCCATTAACGTGGCCAAACTTCCTCAGAGCCTACCTGCAGGCTGGGCCCTTCCTACCCCAGCCTGCCTCCCTCGCCTCTCCCCTTCCAGAGGGCAGACCAGCATCACGGTCTGACAGCTCTCCCAGCCGCACCAGGCTCCCTGCTCATTTTTTCTCTTAGGTGTCTTTCCAAAAAAGCCTCTTGTATGTCCAGTGCCATCTTGGTGCCTCCTTCTCAGAGGACCTGAACTAACATGGGGGAGAAAGCCAATAAAGCGGCAAAGAAACGAAGAGCTTCATGAGGGAAATCGAGACAACACCTCCTCTAGAAAACCTGTGTTGGTGTCGGGTGGTGCTGGGCAGACGGCGACAACTGAGTCGGGAAAGGTCCCCCTAATTTGCTGTGTGAATGTGAACACGGGACACCTGGTGTTTCTGCTGGCCCAACACGTGTCTCTCCTTCCTCTGGTGACAACACCTTAATTTTCCCATGGGGCCACGACTCCTGACCCACCCGGTGGCCAGAGTGAGCCTCCTCCCCTTGCTCCCCCTTCCTCCAACAGCCACAGTAACGGGTGCAGGAGCCAAGAACCAGACTTCGCTCCTGGACCTCTGCTGGCTCTCCCGGGAGAGAGGTGTTTACTGCCTGCTGGGGTGGCCAAGCTGGGGGTTTGTCAGCCGGACGCTTCTGGGCTCCATCTTGCTACTCTCGGCCCGAGGCCAGCACAAAGGGGAGTGCAGTTAAGCAGGAGAAAAAGAGACTGACATCATTTGAGCCCCCGGATCCAGGCATTTGCAGCTGAAGACACCGCTATCCAAGGCTCCTATGGGAATCCGTAAATCCCCCCTTTTCACTTTAAAAAGAATTTCGGGTGCTCACAACGCTTATGCTTTTGCGCCCCTGCCACGAGCCCCAGTACATCCATCTCTCTCTCAGCTGGAGACTTGGGAGCCAGGATCTGGTGCTGCAGGGCTTCTCCCTAACGTAAGACTCTCCTCCTCCAGCAGGACAGCTCTGGGTGTGGGACTCGGGCAGCCACCCAGGACCCCTTATTCAGAGTCTGTTTACTTTAAAGCTCTACTGTTGCTGTCTTAAACGCTCTAAAGACTTTATCTTTGAGCCTGTAAGTGAGATCTGCCGGGACCATGGAGCATGAGGTGACAAATGCTATGGGAACATCTGCTGTTCCTTTCTGCTGAGTTTACACACAACACCTGCGATTCCCCGCAAGTCCCGGGGTCCCACATGCACGGGAGCTCAGTGAGACTCAAAGCGAGGACGGGGGAGCCCATCATAGCTATGACTAAGTGGGGGCACCTGCATGTCCCAGAGGCCACGCCCTCCTTTCCAACAGCACTGGCTTCAGCTGCACAAAGAAGAGCAGTGGTGGTCAGAGACACAGGAGGGACCCGGGAACTCCATCATGTCCTGTCTTACTTGAGTTACTTCCCTGGATGAGCCAATCACTTCAGCAGCAGGGAAGAGCACAGAAGGAAGGGAAAGATGGGGCACCTACAGTTCCTCTTCCTTTGGCTCAGCCTCACTCCTCAGCAAGCCCACGATAGAGAGCATGGATAGGGCTCGTACAGTATCATGAAGTGAAATAAAAACAGCTGAGTTAGTTTTGTGCAGTGTTTCCACTGTCCTGGTAAGAAACACATATGGCAAGGAAAAGGTTTAAAATACAGATGGTGAAATTTCACCCATTCTGCACCTGAGTTAAATGCTCTCTTTGCCTTTAAAACTAGCACCGCAAAATACAAAGATGAGTGGTGAAATCCATGCTAATAATGTGAAGTTCTAATTTTCTCTACTTATAACATTAAATATCAAACAACAAAAAACACCACAACGAGGCTAGGTGACCACAGAAAGCAAAGAACAAGACATATGTGTTTTGTATCTCTCTCTCTGCTTTTTCCCTGACTTGTGGACCGGGGGTCTGCGCGCGCATTTTGCACGGGGCACCCCGGGCCCCAATTATGCGGCTGGCTCCGCCCGCCAGGCTCACCTCCCCCCAGGCTGCGGCTGGAGGCTCCACCGGTGGGTAGAACTTGGGCAGGTCCCAGGCGATCTTGGTCATAAACCACTTGAAACTCTTGCAGTTAAGGGAGCTGCGGAGCTTTTTCTGGGCAGCTACGTCCCCAGCCGAGAGGTGGCGGTACTCAGGCCGGCGCTGGTAGATGTGTTCCGCATACTCGTCCATCCACACCTCTGCCACTCGCTTTAGGTTCTGGAGGGGACAGGCAGGTGCAAGGGTCAGGCTCTCTGAAGGGCTGAGGCCAGCAGTGGGTGCAAAAGGTCCGGGGAGTGGGGGCGGAGGGTGGGGGTGGGGGGTGAGGTTTTTACATTGCATCAAAGACTCTACCCCCACTGTGTTTTTAAGCCTTCTATATATGTATATAAATTATTACTTTTTTCATTGTAGTCAGTTTACAATGTTGCCTCAATCTCTGGTGTACAGCATAATGCTTCAGTCATACATGCACATACATATATTCGTTTTCAAATTCTTTTTCACCATAAACTACTACAAGATATTGAATATAGTTCCCTGTACTATACAGTATAAACCTGTTGTTTATCTATTTTATATATAGTAGTTAGTATGTGCAAATCTCAAACTCCCAATTTATCCCTTCCCACCCTCTTCCTCTCTGGTAACCATAAGTTTGTTTTCTATATCTGTGAATCTGTTCCTGTTTTATAAATAAGTTCTTTTTTTTAGATTCTACATATAAGTGATATCACATGGTATTTTTCTTTCTCTTTCTGGCAAGCCTTCTATATTTCTATTTA